GCACCCCAATCCCAAAAGTACCCCAGTCCCACCAACAAAGTTCAGTGTCCCTCTACACAGCAATCCATGTTAGCTGCTCCCTGCAACTACTTATTCCACAAGTTCCTCAGTCAAGCCTCACTCCTCCTCACCTTCAAATCCTAGAGCTTGTTTTTGGTATAGCTTCTCACACCTCTGCATTGTAACATCACCAGCTCTTTACCGATTCCACTTCCTGCACCTGCCAGTTAGACCGTCCTCTTCTTACCCTTAAGTCTTCTGTCCAGCTGCATAATTACTGTATTCTGCAAAAGGAAGTCCAGCCCTGGGATGTGCTTATCATATGGCCACAAACCTCAGGTTTGCTGTTGCACAGAACAAGGGGAAAGTGGGAGGGCATGATATCTGCAGTTGGTCACACGCCATACACCACTGGAGACCTGGTCCTGACTACAATCAGGTGTTACCCTGTGAGTCATCTCTAGTATCAGCTAAAATTGCTGTGGGAGAGTGAAAAGAGATGCAGGGTCCAAAGGTGCTTACCTTTCCAAGTTAAAAGATATTAAACCAGGGAGAAGTCCTGAAAGTTTTCCCAGAGAGCTTAATTTCCCTGGAGGAAGACAGACAGTAGTGGAGGCAAAACAAGCTACTCAACCTGTCCGATTGACTTCTGCAAGTTGTCTTTCATGTTAACTGTGAAGTGACAAGCTTTCATATAAAACCTGAATCATCTTTGTTACAGAAGGGGAACCTCCCACCACAGGGCCATTTGGTCACACTATTAGAGGATCTTATAGCTTTGTTAACCAATATTTTCTTCAGGCAGCACCTTACTGGAAGAAACCTCTGACCAGTTGTTTGCTTGGGTTTTTTTTGAACATTTAACTATAACCTCCCTGAGCATATGCAGGACCTCATTTTGCTTGTATTGTCCCCTAGAAAAAAGCACATGTTGCATTCAACAAATACATTTGTAGCAGGCCTCTGTTTCCAAGGACCAAGTAAAAGAAAAGGTTCTCGTAAGGAAAGTCTCTAGTGCAGTAGGGATTCCCAGCACCAGGTAACACCTCAAAATGGAGGCTACTGACCACAGGCAGTGCTGAAAGGCATCTACTGCTCTCAGCAATAAGTAAGATAGCTTTAATCAAATCTGCCAGATGGTGTGGACCTTAGTTGTAAACATTATTTCCAACGCATATCAAGTCACCCTTGAACTTGGATTAACCCAGTCATCAGCTGACTGCCAATGGTTACTACATAATTTAATGGTTTCATTTTTTTAATACAGAAGCTAGCATAAACAGACTGAAGGTTCAACTGCCTGAACTCCCTAGCAGACACCACTTATAAAACTATCTTCTGCATCTGAAGCTGCAAGTTTTCAATATTTGCTTTGACTCAAATAATAGAGAGGCAGCTAGTGTGAAGAGGAAAGCTTTGGCAACACCAGCTTTTTAACAGTTTATATACCCCATTAGCTTCTGCTACAAGAAGCATTATGTCCCATAGTCAAACCCTGTTACAAGTTACATGAATCACCAATCTCAAGATCACTGTGCTGGTTTTGGCTGGGATGGAGTTAATTTTCTTCATAGTAGCTAGCATGGGGCCATGTTTTTGATTGTGCTGGAAACAGTGTTGATAATACAGGGGTGTTTTTGTTACTGCTGAGCAGTGCTTACACAGGGTCAAGGCCTTTTCTGCTTCTCACACCACCCCACCAGCAAGAAGGCTGGGGGTGCACAAGAAGTTGGGAGGGGACACAGACGGGACAGCTGACCCCACCTGACCAAAAGGCTATTCCATACCATGTGACATCTTGCTCAGCATATAAAGCTGGGGGAAGAAGGAGGAAGGTGAGACATTCGGAGTGATGGCGTTTGTCTTCCCAAGTAAGCGTTACGTGTGATGGAGCCCTGCTTTCCTGGAGATGGCTGAACACCTGCCTGCCCATGGCAAGGAGAGAATGAATTCCTTGGTTTGCTCTGTTTATGTGCACAGCTTTTGCTTTCCCTATTAAACTATCCTTATCTCAACCCACCAGTTTTCTCACTTTTACCCCTCCAATTCTCTCCCCCATCGCACCGGCGGGGGAGCAAGCAACTGGCTGTGTGGTGCTTAGTTGCCATCTGGGGTTAAACCACAACAACCACATACTTAAACCAACTGAAGTACTGCTCCTTCTGTCCGCTAGCGGGAACTTCTTCTGTCCACTAGCGGAAACTTGAGAGGGCCCAGTAAAGCACCCTGAAAGTAGCCATTCTTCAGAAGCTAGTCAGTTTCTGAAGAGGTGCATTAGGAAAGGGGCCACATCTAGCTAGCTGTCATGTTCACATTGCTTTACAGATGTCACTCAGAAACTTTTGCAGGTAGTGGAAGAAGGGGTTTTCCTCTTTGTATCAGAGAAGAATACAAATCTACCTTACTGAAAAACAGAATTAACCCAGAAATCCCAGTTGCACTGTACTTGAGTACTCTGGGTGCTGCTGATATTAAAATCTGTTGTCATCATGACTCGTTGAGTCCACGCTCTCTATGGATGAGCAACAAAACCGTGCTTTGTTGTCTAGCTACAGCAGACTATTAATCAATGCTCATAGCTGGGAGGATAGTGGAAGCCTAGTCCACTTTAACTTAAAGCAGGCTCTTCCTCCAAAGCCAGGTTTATTGACTCTCCATTTTTAAGCTGTTCCAGCCTATATCAAAAGCCTCAAACCTTACTCAAAAAGTTTGCCCCTTCTGTCCCTCCGTGAACAGAGAAGGGGGAAGGGGGAGAGATGCAAACCAGAATAAGAGTTTCGGGTTGAACTCACACACTGTTCCATCTCCAGGACCCGAACGATAAGGCATTTTGTTCATCTTAACTTTAAGGAGCTCTCTGCATTCACAGGTATTTAAGCTGTGGTCACAAAAATTAGTATGCTCCTGTATCAGATGTTAACACCTTAGCGGTCCAACAGGCAAAATCTGCCATGCTTTTGATTTATACAGTGAACTGACTATAGAAGAGCATAGCCTAGGAGACAAACTTGGACGCCATACAGCATCACTCACAGGCCCCTCACAATCAGATCAAACTGACACGTCTACCAAATTTCAAGTTCAAAATTCAAGACTAGCCCAACAGGATTTTTCCTGAAATGAAGAGCTCACTAAGTTCGCAGAGAGAATATTTTTGGAGATTTGAGTTCATAAGTTACAGTTAACAAATACTCTGTTGTTGCCTATCAACGACATCAGCTGCCGTGCACAAGACCACACACTATTTCATCACCAGCAGAGTATTCTCCTGCTCTAAGATACCAATATTCTGTGTTGGTCTAGGCTTTATTACTATTCTGTATCACACAGCCACAGACATGTTTCTATTCACAGAATCACCTCAACAATGAGTTGCCGCGTTAGTGCGCTGAACAAGTCAGACAGCACCATAACAAGGGAAATATTTCTTACATCAGCAACTCCTGTTATTTAAACACAGGAATGGGCTCTAGTAATTCCTTTCAAGTCAAGAAAATTGGATTCATGTTTTCCATGAACTCCTATCCAGAAACACACCAGAACTTAGGCCAATCTCTACTAAAAAAGCCACCTGGTCCCCTACACACTAGCAGTAGGTAAGGCAAGCCGGGACTTCTAAGTTAGGGTACCGTAGTACCCTGTTATCAGCTTGAGCAATGAAACGTGACACTTCCTCAAGGTTTTAAAGGGAGATGATCAACAATCTGTCATAATACGAAATTACATCATCTCCTTTCTCATTCTGACTATCTGAAGCCTTAGGTCGTACAGTTATTCGTTCCCTCCCTTTGGCCTAAGCGAGTCCTCCCTTCGGTTTTCCCCCCTCCCCGCTGCAAGCGGTGAAGCTGGCTCCTCCTGCCCGGGCAGCCCCGGGACCCAGGCTGCGTCCCCGGCGCACAC